AGATACTGTTTAGAAAAATAAGAATAGATAAATTAAGATTTGATTAACAAATATGGAAAAAGAACACTTTGGCAGAAACTGTAACTAAGTAAAATATATTTGGATATGATGAATTATATATGATATGATATGGTCAATACTCTAATTCAAAAAATATGTGGGTGTGTATTGGGGGGGAACCAATAAAACGTCAAAAAAAAGTGGCTCTGAAGCGGAGGGGGACCAGTGCCAGCGGTGGTGGCAGAGTTGGAGCCAGTTGGGGAGCCTGCACTGGCACCCATTGGCATTGGATGCATCCCTGGACCCAGCCAGGAGGGATCTGATCTGCTGGCAGCAGTCTGAGGGAGAGCTGGCAAGGTGGGCTGCCTGGCCTCAGTAGACCCATGGCCTCTTGCTGCAGTCCCAAGATGGCCTGGCCTAGCTTGAGCTGTCATCCTGGTAGATCGGACCCAACGAGGGAGACTAAGACGTAATCCACTCTGTGCTGAGTGAAACAAGGAGAAATCCCGTTCTGACTGGTCATGTTCCCCTGACCTGGGAAGGTGAAGGTTGGTTGGGCCAAGACCAGGCCAGGTTGACCTCCTGGGAGGAGCTGGCCCAGGTTGCCATCACTCAGCTGGCCAAATCTTTCTGGCGAGCCTGCCAAGGACTGGCTTCTCAATGGGGGTGGTTGGATTCCCCACTCTCTGGACTCACTGAGATCCAGGGGTCTTGAAGCACTCCACTCGAAGACCGTGGCTGAGGTGATTTGGGGCTCCTGGAACACCAGGCGGCCGGCTAGGTCCTCTTCAGCCCGGTACAGTTCCCGGTGCACCGGGAATCCGATACTGTCTCCCAAGCCGCCATCCCACTGGTCGAGCTCCTGAGCTGATGGCCAGGTCACTTGCTCTTTGGGCCTGGCACCAAGTTGGCATTCGAGCTCCACTGCTGCTTCCGCCTGCTCAACCACCAAGGGGAAGCCAAGGCTCCCGGAGCTGTCTCCGCATGCTGCTCCAGTTCCCGTGGCTCCACTGGTGTCGGAGGATTTCTCCTCCATCTTCCCTGAGTTTTCCCGCTGCCCAGTCTCCCGGTAAGCAGCTGGAGCTCAGGACCCCGGACAGCAGCCCCGCAAGTGTGGGGAGCTTTTTGGTTGTTTTTATAGGAAGAGTCGGGTTAGTGTCAGAGTTCTAAGTAATAACCCCAAAGCTCTGAGGTCTAGAGTTTCCACAAAGCATAATTTTATTTGGGATATCATATTGGCACAGCTGGTGAAAACCCGACTCTGAAGGACCCAGGGTTTTTCCCACCCAAATCAAAACCCAAAGTTCTTGCCCCTAGGTCACATGTCCATCACATGGTCCAATCAGATCGCAGTCCCAACTCCAGCTGGCTTTGGTCCATGCCTTTCCAACACCTGGTAGAACGTCCTTGGCTCCCATGGGAAAGAATGTTATTTTGGTTACATATCCCCCAGCTATCTCTACCGCCCCACTTACATTCCCATAGCTCCATCCGGCCTTGCTGTGGCAGCCCTGAAGATGCTCCAAAAAATGGCTTCAGGGCTGACAAACTGGATAAGTGACTTTAGGCCAGTCACCACTTCTCTCAGCCCAACCCACCTCACAGGGTGTCAGTCCTGGAAGACTGGAAGGTTTGTTGTGGAGAAAAATAGGCAGCAAGAGAATTAGGTATATTTGTTGTCCTAAGTTAGCCAAAAAAAAAAAAATGACAGGACAAAAATCTAATAATAATGGTGTACAAGATATAGAAATATATCTATCTTTTATAGAAATAAGGCACAGTAGAGATAAGACTGAGAAAAAAAATGCAAGACTAACAAAGCAACTAGTAATAAACTATAGAAATAAATGTATATATCCTCAGGTTTTTTTTTAAAGTAAATATTTGTGCACAATACAATCTTTCCTGTAACAAAAGAGGGGGAAAAATAATGTCTGTATAATGTCTGTGTATCATTCTCCAGATCTGTAAGATCACATTAGAAGGGAAAGGTGATAGAAACTCTGTTGATATCTGCCATCACAAATGTTTAAAAAGGAGACAACATGCCATTTGTGGTTTCAGAGCTAAATGAGCCAGGTTTATTGCAGGTCAAAACATATGGAATCTTATACTCACTCAAAGCCAGCTATAGACAACATAAAGAATCTACAATATCCACAAATTTGGAATATTATCAATACTCCAAAATATAGTTATTGTTGAATTATAATGGTTAAAACTATTATATCACTTTCCAATTTTTGATAACCCCATATAAATTCAATATAAGGTGTTTGAATAATAGAAGAAAGTTCAAATTTCATTATATGGGCATTGCATGAATACTAAGATTTTATCAAACAAATAAGTTGAAATGCACATCATGACCTTTCTAAAATTGGAAATGATTGTGGTCCTCAGCACAATTAAAAGTTGAAGATAAAAGGAAATATTTAAAAGATTTATTATATGTCCCTAATAAAACAAGAGATTTAAAAATATCTAATAAAAGATTTTATACTGCTATAGTCTATTGGCAAGCTACTCAAATCAGGGCTATAATTATGTCCTGTTGTTTTTGGAAAAAAGTGTAATGTGACCTGGTCTTTCTTAGTTGTGAATGTTTCTCATTCTTAAAAAGAATCTATATATGACAAAGAATTACAGCAATACACATGACATAAAAAACATTGTTGAGTAGTAGATCCAGAACCAGTATGCAGTTTTCCTATATGGGGTTGAACAAATATAGTATATTGCTTAATTCCTTTATTTAAAAGCTAATAATTTACTAAGTTTCTTAAGTATTCCTCAGTAGGATACTACAGTATATCTAACAGAAAACAGAAAACAATCAAAAGGATAGGATGCATTTCAAGTTCTTTTAAAAGATTTTTTAAAAAAACCCATTTTTATTATTTTTATGAATAACTCAAGGCAGCAAGCATTACCTAATACTCCCGTCTTCTAATTTTCCTTACAACAACAACCCTGTGAGGTGAATTGGACTGAGAGAGAGAATGACCTGCTCAAAGTCACTCAACTAGCTTTCATACCTAAGCTGTGACTAGAACTCATAGTCTCCTGGCTTTTAGACTGATTCCTTAACTACGGTGGCTTAATATTTTTTTTCACCTACCATTAAAATATTCAGTGTTAGCTAGAGTAGTTCTTTATATGAAGTGTATGCAATAAAATAATTTCAAACCATTCCTTTTGGAACATCCATAAAACTTATTTTAAGCCATCTCTTCTTCCATCTGTCTAGTAAACTGTTGATCTTTCACCAAACTACTTTTCAAAGGCTACTTAGAAGAAGCTGTTTTCAGATACAGCTACAGTACCAGTGGTGGGTTACTACAGATTTGTCCCAGATTGGGTGAACCGGTAATGGCAGCAGCGGCAGGAGGCTCTGCCCACCCGCCTGGATGCTTTTGTGCATGCGCAGAAGTGTTGCGCATGTGTGTGTGTTGTGATCCACCAGCAGCCTGTGGAGCTGGACAGTGAGGAGGCTGGGGAGGACAATGGGCCAGTCCTGGAGTCAGGGGAAGGCCCGGACAAGGGCTCTGCGTCGGAGGCAGAGATGGGGCTAGGGCCATCTGGGAGTGATGCACGGACTTCAGGGCCTCCAGAGGCGGATAGCAGAGAGGCAGTGGAACAGGAGGAGCCTGTTCCTAGTGCATGCATGCAAAGAGCTACCAGAAGGCAAGAGCAGCTAAAGTAAAAAGGACGACTCAGGAGTAAGGCCAGGAGATAATTGGCCCCTCCCAGAAGACTTAAAAGAGCAGCAATGGTGTTACAATATTTTGAGGATCAGACTCAATAATAAATTCAGAAGTATTTTTCTTCAGTTAAAGAAGAGTTTATTCATAACAGGCATTCTACTTGTTCTGTCAGATTTTTACAGTGAGAAGCAAGCATGAGGTAAAAGCATTCTCTATTTATATCAAAGGGGAGGAGTCAAGGGTGGGGGTGATTACATATGAATACATTAAAGGAGGAGGAATAAATTAACTCTTAATATCCTGTACATATATACATATCTCTTGTTATAGAATAAGGCATTTACTTATGACAAATGGCTCTTGGGATCTTTGTAAGAAAGCAACTTTGCTACATTTGTTTCTTGTTGGCGTCTCTTACTTCTGAACTTTGTGGGATTTTGCCAAGAAAAGCCTATGGCAGGGTGCCAAAGAAGACAAAGGTTGGTGATAAGGCCAAAGGACTGTTTATGAAGAATTTGTTTTGGAATTAATTTGGACTAAGCTGAGAATGAAGTAATTCTCAGCTGTTGTAATAAAATATGTTTGTTTAGGACTGATTGGTCTGGTAATAACTACTTGGGCCTAGGTCACAACAGCGTGCACACCCACGGGCTAACCGGTAGCAACAGGTTTTGAAACACGCCCCTGTACAGTACAAGCTTCACTGAAGCTTGTTCTCAAACAGCACTTACAGTAGTAACATATGTTCCTTTTTTTTTAATTGGACACTAAATATCCTTTAACATTTTTATTCCAACTTGTATAAGAACAGGACATGAATTTGGAAAAGATAGATGAATATCTACAAAAACAACAATTATCAAAACTTTCACAAGCCCAGAGACAAACAATGAATGAATGTATATTGGAAATGTAACTACAAAGAGGGTACTTTTTAATACTCTCTGGTGGACTTGTGATAAAGCCAAAAAAAAAGGAACCAGATTTTTATCTTAATTCATAGAATTCTTAAAATAAATACAAAACCAGACATTTTTTTTACAAAGAAATGGACAAAGAACTTGAAAGAAAATTTGGAATTTTGTTATTATACTGTATATGTTGACAATGGTGAGAATTTTATATGTGCAAAGATGGAAAGACACGCTAATTCCCACAAAAGAAGAAAGGATGATAAACATGATAAGAGTTGGCAGAGATGACAAAACTGACTGTTTTAATTAAAGAAAACAATTCATCTAGCTTTGTTTCTATTTGGAAACTACTCGACTTTTTGCTTGAAACTGGGAAAAAATGAAACTTTGATTTTAGGTTTTGATGATTAGAATGATTTTGTTGCCATAGAAATGGCCTGAAATGTTGTGAAATGTAAAGGTTGAGGTTGCAATGTCTTTTTTTGTACTTTATTGTTCTGAAAAAAATTGGAAATCACTATCTTTTTTTCTTTCTTTCTCTTTGCATCCTTCCCTATCTTTCTTAGTTTTCTAACTTTTGTTTTGTTTTGCATTTTTCTTATAATAAAATGTAACTTCAGGGTATTAATTGGAATATGGGGCCTTCTTATTTGATTTTTTAAATGTATTAATCGAGTTACTTCCACATTACCAACTGCTTATATGTCAATTATAAAATAATATTGTACATGTGAAATAAGTTGCATCTTTTCAGCTTATATACTCCAACTTTCCTAAATTTCTTCATAGAATATGCTTCTATTCTTTTTGCAAAATGGGTTTTTCAAAATTGCAATTAACATGAAAAAGTAAAAAAGTTATTGAAAATATGCACCCCAATCCTTTGAATATTTTCCTGTGTTAAAAATTACTGGACTGACAGGCAGCAGATCACCAGAGGCATGGGGAGGTTCAGGGTGAGAATTCCATCCCACTTTATTCTTTGTGTGTTTCTTCCCATGCACAAACTTTTATTTTTCACTTTAACCCCTTGGAAGTTAATTCACCATGCTGAAGTGTAAAGTACTCTTTCATTCTTTGACAAAAGAGTTGTGAGTTCCTACCATCCATTCAAACATCCCTCATGACTGTGAGGAGAATGACTAGTAGTGATTGTTCTACCAGCTGGTGAGTCTTGATGACAAACAAATGTCAACATGTAATATTTTCAAAAAAACTCATGCTGTTTACCTCTATCTCTATCTCTATCATTATAATTTCTGAAAAATACTGAACAAATCTAGCTCTTTCATTTACATGATATTAAACTGTGTTCTGAGTACAAGCACTGCAATTAGTATTCTCATAGCTATGCTAGAAGCAAATGAAGAACAAGAGAAAGACACATTAATAGTTTGACTACTGAGCCTTGACTGATCAGAGTCTTGTTGCAATGTAGTAGTGATAGAGGTACATCTTTTATCAGATAGCCCTGATAAATAGGAGGGGACTCACATACATAATTTTGAGGCCAATCAAGCAGCAATGTTTCTTTGGCTGCTAAGTCTTGGATTTCCCTGATATAGTAAGTACAAGAACAGTTATACAGGTTGTGGCCAGCCTTTAAGCTCTGTAAATGTTTCAGATACAATAAATCCTTGCTCCGTAACCTTGACATGCAGTTTCCATCTAAATTCAGGATCTCCAGATTAGGAAGCTGATGGACTGATGGGAATGTCTGTAGCCTATTATACAAGTAGAGCTCTTTCAAAGCAGAATGTGAGAAATCTAGAGTAAAGATGTTATTGGCACTCAGATCTAATACTTTACTGTTGGGAGACAGTAATCTATCCATACGTTCTAATCCTGTGTTAGACAAATTAAAAATCTGAAGTGATTGTGGCCACATACAGTGGAAAGGGAGGACTCCAGGCAGGAAGTCATTCTGACTCAAACTTACTAAGTGAGTAAGCGTATCAAAATTACTAAGAGTCTTGCACAAAGTTTCATAAGAAGTCAAATTATTGTGATTTAGTTTTAATACTTGGAGCTGTGGGAAAACACCTTTGCAGAATGTTGAGTTTATGCTTTGATCCTGAAAATTATTTCCTGAAATATCCAAAAAATGTAATGCTCTGAATATTCTGCCAATCTTACAAGGAATAGATGCAACTTGTGACTCTGTCAACGTCAGATTTTCCAGGGTCTCCAGCCACCTCTTCAGATTGAATATATCAAATCTTTCATCCAGAGGGGCAGCAATCACTTTGTGGAAACGCAGAGAGGTAACTTTTAGATTCAAAGACCTTGTATATTGCCAGTGTACAGGTCTAAGAAAAATGCAATTAACAAATTCAAGTTCTGAAACAAGACGTGTATGGGAAATGAATTCCAGGTCACCTGGTAACATAATTTCCGGTACAAAGAGGTCAGTAAAGATGAGCTTTCTTACCTGCAGAGCTTGCAGGATGTCAATTATATTTGAATTTGGCTTCATTCCAGAAAAGCCTGCAAATTGTTCCAGATTTCCTCCTTTGAGTTCATACTCAGCAGTTAGAAGGCATACAGCAATATTTTTTAATTCTGACTGATTTAAAAGTGAACAAATGCAGCGCTGCTGGACCTCTACAAAGATACATCTGCCTTCTGCTTTGAGAAGCTTCAGTTGCAGAAGAAGGAAGAACATGAAGGGCTGAAATCGGCACATGATATAAAACCTATAAAGAGAGAAAAGCCTCTGCATGATTTTCTAATCAATGGATTATTATCTTTCCATCCTTATCTGCATGGATAGAAAAGAAAGGTCTGTCAACATGGAAACAGCATGTATTAACAAACATTTCAAGTTTTATATTTTGTCTTTCCTGAATTATTTTCCTGGCAATGATGAAAGAGGTAATATAAAATTTAAAACATATCTCTAGAAACACCCAGGGATAGGATATTTAACTTTCCCTGGGGTTTCTCTCAAGAGATAAAATAAACTTTCTTGGCAAATGTGATTAACATAAATGTTTCACAACATTTCACAACATTGGAAACATAACTGTTGCTGGGGAATGGTTTCATATTATGTAGCCTTAGGGAAAAAAAAGATTACAATACTTTAGAGAATATGTGCAAGCATGCAGTTCTGATAGGAGAAAAATTGGTAGGAGAAAAAATAAACTGCAACAATAAAACAAACTACTTACTGTGTGATATGGATTTTAAAATCTGTTTCTGCACAATCTATAAATTCTTCCTGCTACCAGGCTGTCCAGTTTGTTGGAGAAACAAAATTAATCTTTCTTAATGCAACACTCTTCCTTACTGACAACTGCTATTTCTTTTTCCAGGTATAATAAAGATGGAAGATAAATTGCTTTTACTTTACCAACTGTAGATTTTACTTAACAGCCCACCTCAACATACTTCTTTTGTTTGAACTGCACTTCAGAAATTATGAACATGTTTATGAGTACTTGATGTTCCTTCACTAGCCGTTTGAGAAACTCCCACTGCAGGATATGGTGTAAGCAGCACTATTGTGTAAGAAAGAAAAAGAAAGTTAGCAATTAGAAGCAATATATAATCGGGATTTCTGCATTCAAATCACACTATCTCAGATTTTTGACAGAAGCCCTGCTGTCAATCACAGACATGGACAGAAGACAGAATTTCCACAGCTTAGCTGTAGTTTTATTTAAATCCATTTTAATTGGAATTTCACTGGGATATAATACTGAGACTACTTGGATCTCACCTCCACAAGGTGGACCTGACTAAGAAACCTATGCCATATGGATCAGAACTACTTTTATTGTAACAGCTATAGAATAGTAAGAACTTTTGCAAGTCTGAATGTGCTTCTCTCCTCCCTTACTTTATTTTTGGTAAAGTAGAGAGGGGCTAATCTGAGGTGTTTTTCCAAGTTATTTTCTTGACCCAGGCTGAGATCCTGCTTATGTGACTGAAGAGTTGGTAGCAACTCTTTCTCCTCTCTTTCAGGGCCATTCCCTATGTCCTCTAGATTGGATTTCCTGATGGATGACCTATGCTCCTGGAAAATAGATGGGACATGTATGACCCTGCTAGATCTTTTGGACCTCCTGATGGCTTTCAATAGCATCAGTCATGATATATGTTAGGGCCCTCTGAAGGCTCTAGGGCCTAGGCCTTGAATGTCATCATTTCGCAGTGTTGTGATCTAGGCTTCCTGAGTCATTAAAACACACGAGTAGTCCCAAAAACCTTTTTTATTGCAACAGCTGTGAATTACATTCATTCACAGCTGAATCCCAATTAGTTGCAAAAAGTCCTTCAAGAGAAGTCCTTTGGGATAATCACCAACCTTTATCTCCCTTGACATGCTGCCAAAGACCTAATTGGCAAAGCCACACAGAGTCCAGAATCAAACAGAGATGCCGACTGGGAACAGAATTAACAATGTTGCTTTCCTGCAAAGGGCCCACATGCCTTTGCTCCTCTTTTAAGCCTTATGGGAGGGACCAATCATCTCTAGGCCTTACTCTCAATTTGTCCCTTTTGTTTTAACTGTTCTTGCCTTCTAGCAGCTCTGCACATGTGTGCGCTAGGAACAGGTTCATCCTGTTCCTCTGCCTCTCTGATGTCCGACTCTGGAGGCTCCGGAGCCACGCATACCTCCCAGTTGGCCCTGGCCCCATCTCTGCCTCTGATGCAGAGCCCTCATCCAAGCCTTCCCCAGACTCCAGGATTGGCCCATGTTCCTCCACAGCCTCCTCACTGTCCAACTCCGCTGTCAGCTCCACAGGCTGCTGGTGGACCACAACATGCAGTAGTTCTTCCCATTGGGACATGTCCAGAAAATAATGTCCCGCAAAATCCTGGCATCCTGGGGTATCACCGGAAGCGTCGCGGCAAGACAGTCGGGGAATTAGCGGCCTTTGATGAGCTCCACAAAAACCCGGACTGACAAACCGCTGTCGAGTGGTCTTTGGACCAGAACCATCCTGTAGGGACGGGGAAGAAGGAGAGGCACCTTGGAAGACCAAGAGGAACAGGCAAGTTCCTCGAAGGTCAGAGGAATTTCTCTCTAAATCGGCAGTGGGGGCGGCAGCCATTGCGGCTGTCATGAAGCTGAGGCAACCGGGCCAAGCAATGAGCAGGAGCAGTAAAAGGAACAGAGTTTTGAAGCTGGGTGAATGACAGCAAACCCAGATGAAATAACAGCACTAAAAAGCTTTTAAATTTGGAAAACCCCCAGCGAGAAATTGGCGGCTAAAGGGCACAGGGGAAAAAAAGAGGAGGTCGGAAGCAGAATTTAAAGGGATAAACACCCGAAAAGAAAATTGACTTTTGGAAGGAAATTATTTGGAGAACATCAAAGATTAGAAGAAATAACCCTAAATATGGAAAAAGGATTGGAAAACATAAGCAGATCCTTTTTTCCTCTTTTTTGAAGGTTAAGATAAATAAAGAGAACTGAAATAAGCCCCTGTAACAGAAGTGTTTTTATAAATTGAACAAATATAAAGAAAAAGAGAGAGAGAAGAAAGTATTGCTTAATTGGGACTGGACTAGATTGAGTGGATATTTTTAAAGTGAAAGAGAAGAAAAGAAACTAGTAAAATTGTTAACTGAAACAAAATGGATACCATGTTAAATTACTTATACGAATTGTGGATTGTAGAGAGACATCTTCAGGAGGAAAAGAACGGTGCAACTTGTAACTTTTGTTTTGGAAAATTCTGAACTCTGTTTGAGATAATGGTGGTGAGAACTTTGGGGGAGGATTTTTCTGTTTGCAAACAGCTTGACTTTGGAGGGAAGAAAAAAAAGACAGAGATCTTTAACGAGATTTTTAAAATTGGAATAAGACTAATTTGGAAAGAGTAAAATGGAGCAAGAAATTAGAGAGGTTATTATAATGATGTATTCGACTTTGAAAACGGAAATAAAGGAAATGAAGACATTGTTGCATGGAAAATCAAAATCTGAGGACTTAAAAATTGAGATAGAATACGTTCAATCTGACAAGGATTTAAAGACAGAGATACAAGATGCAGAGATTGAAAACAAAGAAGAAGATAAAGACAATGAGATTAATTATGTAAAATTAACTGAACATGACAGTAACAATAAAAAGGAGATTTTTGGAGATTATATTGAAATTAACAATGGGAAAAATAAAGAGGATGGGAAGAGACAAAGCTGGATAGAGAGATGGAATAGAAAAAACACAAAAAGCTTAGATGATTACACTGGGATTAACAGTGGAATGACAAAAAAAGAGAGGAAAAAGTTGGAAAATACTAGGAAATATAGGGCAAAATAGAAGAGTCCAGGACTTTGATTTACAAAATGATTACATTGAGGTTAACAATGATAAAACAAGAGAAAGAGAAAAGAGAGGGGAAACAATGGGACAGATAGGGCAAAATAGGGGAATTCAAGAAGTTAGAACACAAAAGAAAAAAAGGGGAAAGAAAAGGGTAAAAATAAAAAAAAGGAAGAGAGAAAGAAGAGAGAAATGAGAAAAGAATATGTTACAGATACTTAGAATTAAAATATGGATTGAAGCTAAAATATTTGAAAATTAGATTATGTAAAAAGAAAAGATATTAATGGACATAATGAATTAATTTTTATTAAGATGTTGGATGGTATTATTTGAGAAAATTGATGGGTATAATAGTTGGGCTGTTGTTTAAATAACTATAACAATTGTAATAATCTGAATATTCTCAACAATACATTTATTTAAGCAAAAAAGAAAAGAAAATTGAAATGATATAGGACCGTGATGGCGAACCTATGGCACGCGTGCCACAGGTGGCACGTGGAGCGATATTAGTGGGCACGCCAGCTCAGCTCTGGGGCACATGTGCGCGCCGGCCAGCTGATTTTTGGGCCTTCTGGGCCCACCAGAAGTAGGGAAACAGGCTGTTTCCTGCCTCTGGAGGGCCTGGGGGGGTGGGGAAGGCCCGTTTTTTTTTCTTACCTGGCTCCAGATCCTCTCTGTGTATCTGGGAACGGCAAAAACAGCCTTTCCCACTTCCTTGGAGGCCCTATGGAGGCTCAAAGGGCCCATTTCCCCACTCCCGGTGGGACAGGAAGTGACTTTTTTTCTGTCCCCAGCCTCCAGAGACTCCTAGAGAGGCTCCTACAGACTCCTAGAGAGGCTCCTACAGACTCCTAGAGAGGTTCTGGAGGCTGGGGGCAGCAAAAAATGTCACTTCCTGTCCCACCGGGAGTTGGGAAATGGGCTTTTTCAGACTCCCTAGGGCCTCCAAGGGAGTGGGAAAGGCTGTTTTCACCGTTCCCAGATACACAGAGAGGATCTGGAACCAGGAAAGAAAGAAAAACGGGCCTACCAGGCCATCATGTGCCAGGAGCGGGGGGGAGGGGGAGGGGGTTGCGCACACATGCGCGTGGGCACGTGCGCGCGCGACCCTCCCCCGCCCCCCCTCTCCTGGCACGCGATGGCAAAAAAGTTAGCCATCACTGATATAGGATTATAATTTAATTAAATAA